ATCTCTTTTGCTGGTTTATCATGGGACTGCTCTTCCCTCCGACTCTACTTGTACTTGGCATCACTAGTAGAACTTCTTAGGGCTCAGGCAGGAATATTAACCCAGAAAGGCACAGTTAAAATATCAAAACAACAATGAGATATCATCTAGCCCAGAATTAAGAGCAAAGTTCAAAAAAACAGAAAAACAACAAATGCTGGCTAGGGTGTGGAGATGCTGGGACACCTTCAACACTGCTGATGGGACTGTAAAATGATGCAACTACTGTGGAAAATGGTATGGTGCTTCCTCAAAAAGTTGGAAATAGAAATACCGTATGACCCAGCAATCCCTCTTACTTGGTATATATCCTCAAGAAATCAGAGCCGTGACATGAATAGATATATACATATGTTGACTGCGGCACTATTCACAACAGCAAAAAGATGGAGACAGCCTAAATACCCATCAACAGAAGAATGGATAAACAAGCTTTGGTTCATAGACACAACGGAATGCTACACAATATGGAAGACTACTGATGAATCTGTGAGACACTTTATAACATGGGCGAACTTGGAGGACATTATCTTGAGTGAAATTAGTCAATTGCCAAAGCACAAATATTATACGAGATCACTATTGTAAAAACTCAAGAATAGGTTTTCATACTAAAAGAAACTTCCTATGATGGTTACCAGGGGTGGGAAGGAAAGGGAGAATGAAAAAGAGAGAGAATGACTAAAATAAAATTATATCACCTGTTAGGAGAAAATATGGAACAAACCTCAAAATTATTTTAAAAAACAGAAAGAAAGAAAAGCCCAGGCTTACTGATCAGAAAGAGACCGGAGAAACGTGAGACAATGACCATTGAAGTCTGAACTCACCTTTGTAGCTCAATTTTCAGCCAAGCAGTGGTGGTGGTATGCTGTGGAGTCTGTTCTGACTCATAGCGACCCTGCATAGGGTTTCTGAGGCTGTAAATCTGTATGGGAGCAGAACGCCTCATCCTTCTCCTACGGGACAGCTGGTAGTTTCAAACTGCTGACCTTGAGGTTAGCAGCCCAACTCGTACTCACTATGCTACCAGAGCTCCTCAGCGAAACAGAAAATAGGTATATAGAAGGCACTGATGAGGTACGTGGAGTCCTGGTGTGGCGCTGTGGGTGAATGCGTTGGACTGCAAAGTCGGTTTGAATCACAAGGTCAGCAGTTCAAGCTCACCAGACACTCCTAGGAAACCCTATACAGCTCCCAGGAAACCCTATACAGGGGGTGTTATGGATTGAAACCGACTCGACGGCACTTAACAACAACAACAACAAAGTGAGGTAAGTGGAGTCGTGGTGTGGCGCTGCAAGATAGTGCAATGGATTGCATGGTCAGTTTGAGCCGCAAGGTCAGCGGTTCAAACCCACTAGCCACACTTTGGAAACCCTATATGGGGATGCTGAGTCGGAACTGACTCGATGGCACTTAACAACGACAATAAAGTGAGGTATGCACACCATAGAATAGTCAACCATTCAAGAACAAAAGAGCAGCATTTGCCTAAAATCAAAATTCAAAATTCAGAAGGGTTGGGAAAGAAAGAGGAATGGAAACGAGAACCACAGGGAGGAAGAAGGATAAGTGACACTACATGGAGGGGATTGCAATCATTGAGAAAAAACAAAGTGTAGGATTTGCTGACTGTAAAACTGATGATCTGTTCTGTCAACCTTCATTCAATTCACAATCAAGTTTTAAAAAGAAGAGCTCACCTGCTATCTAGAGGGCCAAATGGGTCCTCCCCTACTAACGCAATGATGGATTGTTGCATGATATTAACTCCTGCCACTTGAACAAAGTAGGGGTCTGAATATGAAAGGTTTGGTTGGTGAGGTGAACTGGGAAAGGCTAGATAGAGCAGGGCTATGGCTGGATTAAACTGGCCACGGTTATAAGCTTCCCAAAGATGGGGAGACGCGATGTTACGAAGGTCCTGAAGTAAATATGAAGAGCACTGGTAGCACTGTAAGATAAGCACTGGACTGCTAACCACAAGGTTGGCAGTTCGAAGCCACCAGCCGCTCAGCAGGAGAAAGAGGAGGCTTTCTGCTCCCATCAAGATTTACAGCCCCGAAAACCCCATAACAGGGTTCGGTATGAGTCAGAACCAACTCGAAGGCACTTAACAATAACAAAAACAACAAAGTAAATATGCAATAAAAGCAAACTGCTTACTTTGCTATTTTGACTACATTGTGCGCTGTACAATATAGCCTTTTTGGTGGAAATTAAGAAAGTGATGATTATCATTTCTAGCCATGTTTTATTCACTATTAGCTGTTATCTCACCCTCAATCATGCAAATTTGAAACCAAGGAATCTCTTATTTTGTCTTCTTCTTACAATACGCCTTTGTCTCCTCAACCAGTGTGGATTTCCTATATTGCAATCTAACAGCAAAATCAGCAGCTTTGATAGAGTGGAACACAGAGGGATTTGGGTTAGCTGAAAACGAAAATATTTTGTTTCTCTCCTTTTGGAGAGGAGGACACAATAGAGAAAAAGAAGGAATAGAGGTAATCATTCTCAGAGTCATGGCCTATGAAATCTGCAAGAGACACTGGAAGTCATGTACTCAGGCCAAGCTCTCAGTTTATAAGTAAAAACACTGAGCTAAAAGAATACATGACTTGCTCAAACTCATACTACCCTTGACTTGCAGAAGCAAGTCTAGAGTCCAATTTTCCAATTCACATTTCATGTTCTTTCATTTCTTACACTGCTTCCTAGTTCCTCCAGCTTATTCTAAAACCTCAAACATCAGCTGAACAGTGGTTATGAGTTAAGCTGCTAACCTCAAGGTCAGCAGTTGGAAACTACCAGCTGTTCCACGGGAGAAAGATGGGTTTTCTGCTCTCGTAAAGATTTACAGCCTCAGAAGTCCTATACAGGATCACTATGAGTCGGAACCAACTCCACGACACATAACCACCACCACCATTACCCTATGTAAGCATCTCTCTCTCATACAGATGTATTACCCATCAGGGATTACATCTCTATAGTATGTTCATCATACAAATAAAATATGCCTTACTACAAGAAACCCTGGTAGTGTAGTGGTTATGAATCAGGCTGTTAACCTCAAGGTTGGCAGTTCAAAACTACCAGCAGTTCCATGGGAGAAAGATGAGGCTTTCTGCTCCCGTAAAGATTTGCAGCCTTGGAAACCCTGGTGCAGGGTCACTATGAGTCGGAACCGATACCACGGTACTTAACACCAACCCAATAATTTTAAGAGATGCAGTCAGGAAGTGGTTACTCATATAGTAAGAGGATTCTCTGTCTTACAACAAGATTCTCTAACTTGTTTAATAGGACATTTCAGTTGGATTAAGACAAGAGATCTTAATAATAACTTTATTGTTTATTTATGGTTTGAAAATAAATCTGTGCCCTTAGACTTGTTTGTCATATGATTAGAATTAGACTGTTGTTGTTAAGTGCCGTCAAGTCGGTTCTGCCTCATAGCGACCCTGTATAGTGTTTCCAAGGCACAACAGGTGAGTTTGAACCGCCAACCTTGTGGTTCAAAACGACCTGGCTGTCCAGTGCTTTATCCCACAGTACCACACCAGGATTAGAACTATTGTAAATAGAATTAGAAATTCTTTTAGAGTCCTATATTTCATTCCTGGTGTCGCATTACAAGATCAGCGCTGGACTGTGAACCACAAGGTCGGCAGTTCAAATTCACCAGCTACTTACCTTATACAAGGTTGTTTTGAGTCGTAACTGAATTGACGACACTTTAACAACAACATTACATTTTAATCAGACTCCTGGTGTGGCACTAAAGCATAAACACTGGACTGCAAAGTTGATGAGTCAAACTCACCATCCGCTCCTTGGAAACCCTATACAGGGTTGCTATGAGTTGGAACTGACTCAGCAGCATTTAGCAACAACACCATTTTACATGTGTTAAGCCCTAATCCCACCTTTCCCTCACATTTCATGCTCTTAAGAAGAGAGAAATAACAACCTCTTTCTCTTAATGCCTGGTTTGGCATTGTAGGATCAGCAATAGACTGTGAACCAAACGGTTGGCAGTTCAAACCCACCAGCTGCTCCTTGGATACCCTACAGGGTCGCTAGGAGTCAACTTTAAGATTTGATGCAGATCACAATTTCTGGAAAGCATTGCACTTTAAAATGCGCAGAAAACTTTAACCTACATATCATTTGTGGAAGATGAGACTATGAGGGGCTGCAAAAAATTTGTGATAAAAATGGAATGGAAGTATACTAGAATTTTCCCAGAGGGCTTTTTTAAAGCCCTCTTTTTAGTGGAAAGGTAATGAGGACCAGGTAGAGTGCATGCCATAGGTAGGACCATGGGCAAGTAATGAAGGTAGAAGAGGCTAGGAAGAGATAAGAGAGAAGTGATTCTGATGATATTGTTACATAAACAACATTTTGCTGAACGAAATTCCTTTATCCTAACAACTCAATATTCTCCACTTTCCTAACATAATCATATCTTTCAGAAGCTATCATGTCTGATTCTCATGCCTGCCTGCTGCTGGGAAAGGAATTGCTCCTTTGGACTATTGCCCACTCCCCCTCCCCCAACCTAGCACCATTTCTTTGTTTTCAAGCAATAGATATCTGCCACCTTTCTTGGAACAAGCACTCTAAAAGAAAAGACTTCTAGAAGTACCATTCAGTCCTTCACTCCAAATGGCTACACTATACCACAAATGAGAGTGCAGTGGCTCCAAACGATAAGCACTGGACTGCAAACCACAAGGTCCAAGGTCCAAGGCTGTCAGGTGTTCCTCAGGAGAAAGATGAGGCTTTGTGCTCCCTCAAAGATTTAAAGCCTCAGACCCTAGGCAGGGTCGCTATGAGTCAGAACAGACTTGACAGCACTTACCAACAACATTAATAAACTGAAGTTCCCCCGAAAGGATAGCCCAGAGCCAGGCCCTCTGAAAAGTACCACAAATATTTCTGTTACCTACCTCAACCTGTTGACAGATCTGTATTAGTTTGGCCATTTGGTTTTCTAGTTCACTGTTGCGCTTAACCAAGTTGGTGAGGTTCATCTCCAGAGTTTGCTGCCATCGCCAAGTGTGAAGCCAGAAAAAAACAGGATTGGGGGGAAAAGAACAAACATGCAATGAGCTTGTGTACCAGTATCATATCAGACACTCAGTTGACAAATATTTCAAATGTCCATTGACCATGTATGGTATGCCAAACACTATTCTAGAATTAACAATGCTTTGCATTTTCTCTTCACAATTGTAACTGGGGAAAGGATTTCATTCATGACTTTGTGGCTATAGGAATTTAATGACATGAAAACAACTGTATGTTTTCTATAATATTTTTAACTTTACAAATAATTCAATTAATGATCTTACCCTTCTAGTACTCCTATGTCAGAGGGAGAACAGGTATTATTATCTTTTTAAAAGGCAAGTACACTAAGAACACTATAATTTATTAAGAGATTACAACTTGCTAGACACTCTGCTAGGTAATTTCATATATATCATTCAGTAATCATGATGTAGGTGACATTGACATTTCACAGAAGAGAAAACTGAGCTTCAGAGTGGGGTTCAAATGTTTTTTTTTGAACAAGAAATGGTCCATGAAGAAGCCAAACTTCAAAATGCAAAGTCGAACTCTATCAAGACAACCAGTCCTTTAAGATTAGAAGTAGTTTACAATTACACTTTTACAAGTACACATTAGAAACAGCTTACAAATCTGTTTAATATTATGTAGTTGTTGTTAAGTGCCATCAAGTTGGTTCTGACTCATAGCGACCATGTATAAGGTTTCCAAGGAGCAGTTGAGGGGTTTGAATCACCAACTTTGCAGGTAGCAGTTCAGTGCTTTTCCTACAGCGCACACCAGAACTCCAATGTAGTTATAATAGTACTCAAAATTCTAGCATATCTTCAGTTGAAAAAGCGAACTCATTCTTATTCCTTACGTGAAAAATAGGATTCCTGATGTGGTGCTGTAGGATAAGCACAAGGTTGGCAGTTCAAACCCACAAGACACTCCTTGGAAACTCTATACAGGATTGCTATAAGTCAGAGCTGACTCGATGATACTTAACAACAAAAACAATATATCATGGACTGTTTTATTCCTCCACTTTCCCAGATCTTCAGCCCTGGCTGTTGCTTCTCTTCCAGGATTTGTTCCGGTGTCTCTAACTCCTATCTTATCCACCTTCCCAACACCTCACAAAGTCTGTTCCAAATGTAATATTCCAACTTCTTGGCCCATATTCTGCTATCATTCCTTCCCTTAGTCATGTCCATTGCTTAATTGCTGTCTCCATGATTTTCACAAAGTTTGTTTTTGTTTTTTTTGTTCAGGGGTGGGGGGAAAAGTACTTTCTTGTCTACCAAATAGTGGTTAGTCCTTAATTCCTTGAGACTTACCCAGGAATACATCCCAAAGGATATACTTATATGGGTATTTCTAAGATGGGTAGGCTGATATCACTTGCTCTCAAACTGGATTATGGGAACCAGTTTAACCCTTTGTTCTCTTCTTGACAGAGTCCTGTTTCTCTGGCTGTATCCTCATGGAAGAGAAAGTGATTTTTCATTGTTTTTTCCATTTTCATCTACCTGGGGCACAGTGTCTCCTCTTAACTTCGTTAACCCTGCAACCATCCTAATCTGTGACCTTCTCCTTAACAAAGACAAAGGGGGGAAAGAAGAAATTTAAAAAGATGACCACAATCATTAATTTGGACAAGGCGTCTAAGCTAAATCAATTTCAGGAACACAATGGAAATGGAAGTTCAGAGAGTTAATACAACAAAAACTGTACTGAGCATCTACTCTGTTCAAGACTCAGTACCTTCACAGATAAAAAGGAGGTGACATTAAGATAGATGTTGAAGGCTGAGTAGAACTTAAATTGATAAAGATGCAGGGAGTGTTCAGGGTCTTCCAGGTGCAGGCAAGATCAAGAGAAAATTTAAGTTTTTATTGTGAATTGAGTGATAGTTGACATGGAAGAACATCGGTTTTGCACTCATCCTATCGTATTTCATTTCATTGCAGTGATTACAAATCCCCTCTGGTTTCTTTGTTTTGTTTTGTTTTTTTGGATGTACACAAAAACAATCAAGAATATGCAATCATTCAAACACTCAAAGCGCATACTCATACCCTGCAAGCCTGCCCCGCCCTCCCCACCCTGGCCGCCAGCACACAGCCCCTTTCCCTCCGTGAGTCTAGTGTGCCCAGCTGCTCCGTTTTTCCACATCATCATCTCTGCCTCCATCTCTGGCACCGTTGTTTCTCTGAATAGGGTCCCACACTCTGCTCCCACTCTTCTTCTTCCTTTATGGTCTCAGGGTCTTCCGCTCCTGGACTGCAAGATCAACCACTCCCCTCGTTTTGCTACAACATGATTACCTTTACAGTTGCAACAATCACAATCAGTCACAACAATTACTCACTATTGAACCACAACAGTCTTATCCCCATCTCCTTTCACCAGTCCTGTCTTGTTGTTGTTGTTAAGTGCCGTCGAGTCGGTTTCGACCCATAGCGACCCTGTACAGGGTTTCCAAGGCTGTAAATCTTTACGGGAGCAGAACGCCTCATCTTTCTCCCGCGGAGCCACTGGTAGTTTCGAACTGTTGGCCTTAAGGTTCGCAGCCCGATTCGTAACCACTACGCTACCAGAGCTGTCTAGATAGGTTTAAAACCACTCAGTGGAGAGTCTACCTTCCCCCATACCCTCTAAAACTAAACTCCCTCTTGAAATCTTGTAAGCCAGTTACTTTGTGCCTTTATGCCGCCCCACCCCGACCCCCGATTTTAGGTAGCCAATATCTAAGTTGTCCATCCATCCCTATCAACCCTGTGTTCAGAGGGGATGGGAATGATCCTTGCTGTGAAGAAGATCCCTTCCCTCTTGGTTGTTATTTTAAGCTATTACATCCATAAGTATAGGTCAAGTTCATCAAATTGTAGTGAATTACACTTGTTTTCTTTATCAAAAAAGAGAGAGAGAGAGAGAAAAAAAAACTTAAAAGGGAATAAAGAATAGGACATGTTCAGAGAATAGTAGTTTAGTTTTACTGGAATAGAGGGAGCTGAGAGACAAGACTGGAAATGAGATAGAAGACTCCTTATGAAGGCCTTGAATGTCTAGGTGAGGAATTTATATGCATTTCTTAAGCAATGGGAGCTTACCCATGACTTTGGAGCAAGGTGATGCCATAATCAGGGCTGCATTTAGGTGACTAACCTGACATCATTATGTGGGGCAGAATGAAACAAGAGAGGAGTCCAGGGGCAGGGACACCAATTAGAAGGCAGTTGGTAATAAAGGTCTGAAGATAATCAAGAGAAAGGTGAATTTTACGATACCTGTTATTGTCAAATCTACAGAGAGTACAAGAAGTTTGAGGACTGACAAAGCACAGCTGTATCTTGTAATTAGAGGTGACCTTTGTAAAAAGGAGTTCCGTAGAGTTTTAGAAACAAATGTCAAACTGTACAGGGTTAAAGACTAAGGGGGTACTGACAGAAATGGAGGTTGCAAATCAAGTTGTCTTCACAAGTTTGCCCTTGAAATGAATGTGATAGAGCTGTACTTTAATGAAAAGGTTCTGCTTAAGTTAAGAGTGGGAATTGGAATTGACCCAATCCCTTGTTGATTTCCCCTAGTCAGAGAAGTCCAAATTGTTGGATTAATGGAAATCCCATGTATAACAAATGACTACAGTTATGTATCACTTAACACCCATAATATATTACATGATTTGGATGTTGTGCTAATACCATCATATCATAATCTGGTCCGCTTTTTCTTTAAGTATCTTGAACAAGCTTTGTGCCTTAGCAGTGAACATCAACGTGCTGAAAGGGATTTACTTTTTTATTTGGTCCTCAATCCACGCTACTAGCCATTTCTCCACCTCTGGCATTTTTGTTATCTCTTGTAACTTTCAATGGAGCTGATCCTTTAATAGCTTGGATTATTTTTTGTTTTTGAGGAATTGTGATGATTGTCAAGTATGACAAGCCTAAATCAAGGACAAAAGCATTCACTGATTTTCCACCTTCATGTTGTTTAACAGCCTTTTGTTTCATTTCCAGATCAATATTTCTTGCTGCTGAAAATTAGCACTGGGTTGGGAGTCGTGATGCATGTCACAGTAATATTTTCAAAAGAAAATTAAACAGAGAAATAACACTCAAGAGATGCACAATACATGAGATTGTATGATGTTGCCTAAAAGTCCAAGTATACACTAATATATACGTAAATTTATTTATTATCATCCGATCTTGTATATTGTCATACCTAAGCCAGAAACAGACATTTGTTAAGACTATCAAGACATATGTATTAGAGGTTATATATGTACTGTGCCATTAAATGCCTGGCAGCACAATCACTTTGCATACAATAAACATGCGCTATACATTTGTTGTGTGAGGGAAGCTGTAGCATTCATTATATCCTGTTCTCTGATCAAGATTTATAACCTACGTGGTATGATGTTGCCCAAACGGATGTTATGTGGTACATGACTGTATACTGACATACTAGGTAAATATGATGTAGATTGAAGAACCAAGAGCAGCTACAATATTAGAACTCTGTGGTTCAAACTGTAATGTGTTTCCATTAAATCATGGGAATCCATGGGGAGAATGTTTTCTAACAAGTACACACAACCTGTTGCAGCACTTGTCAGGAAGCTGATATCTTATAAATAATTCATACTGCAGAGCGAAGCTAAGATCCCTGCTGTGTGTTACTCATTTATGACCCAGAACAGAGACGCATAGCTTCTACAAAGCCACTGAAAACAAAAATTAAGGCTGAACACATAATTTTGGGTCTGTGTTGAGGCTATGGAACTTGGGTTATACCATCACAAAATTGTGGCAAATGATTCCTTTGCTCTGTCCTCTTAGCAATTTGCAGAATGCCAGCACATTTCAACTGCACAGAACTAGAACTGACAAGATGACTCTAATTCCAACCTTACTTCATTAATATGAAAATGCTTTGAAAAATAAATCTTTGGCTAATGAAACCACCATCTGTTGAT